AGTGGCACAGTGAGACTGTTCAACTATTCAATGTTAAAATGCAGAATCTTACAAATTTACCTTCTGTGTTCTCATACACATGAAATACAATTTTTTTTTCCTGCTCCCCAAATTGTCATCTGAGCAGGGTCAGTCGGAATGCAGGCAAAGACCAATTACTTGTGTGATTCACGAGGTATTGTAGAGGCATCAGGATAACGTGCAAGAGTATGTGTAATAAAATACCCAAATTCTTGATCCTCTTAGGATGTTAAATTTTAATTGCATTTTTAAGTTTCTGTTGAAACCAAGACGTTTCTACACACGTTCATGCACGTTGGTTTTCTCACTTGCCACTTTATTTAACACTAAACGGGTACACATCTTCAACCAATCTTATCTGCAATGCGAATATTTATCGGTGTGTAAGGACTGCATCTTCAAGTGATGCATAACAACAAACCCATTTTCATCTTTTAAATGTTTAAATATTTCTTATGTCTCTAAGTTACCAGCAGGTTGCAGTGGTCACTATCCCCAGCGTGCTGTTAAAATAGATCTGCAATATGTAGCATCAGTTGCCGTACAGTCACACTTGCAGTATTACAGTGTTGTTCAGATGATATAAGTAAGGAGTTTTTGAAGGTGAAATATGAGGCACTTGATGCTTGCCGGTTTGGGCCAATCGCTGCCTGTCCTCTTACTCCTAGAAATAGATCCAGTGGTTAGATATGTCTTGAAGTTTTGAGAAGTTTTGCAGGTCTCTTATTCTATCACAGGAACCACTATCTGTGTATGTGCTGCACCTATATGACTTGGGGTTTCTGTTGGGATTACACTTCTTAAGTGTTTATACCAATACCGAGGCAGCAGCAGTGTTGCATAAGTCGCATTTGAAGGGGATATACGCTGGAAGAATTTAAATTACTTTACAGGCATTGTTAACGTGTAGCATTATATATGGTTCAACTTTATTTGTGCTATGTTACTGGAATAGTTTCAAGCAATACAGGTAACTGTCAATGGCGTGGCAAATATTACTCTCCACAAGTTAGAAAGGATATATTATGTGTGCTAGCTAGTAGCTATACAATCAATGTATGAATACACATGTTCAAGATTATATTAGATTAATAGTGATAACCTAAATATATATAAAAGGTATTATAGTGTTAACTATAAGATCTATTAATCTATGTTCGGAGATAGTTCAATGCAATCAAATTCGAGGTAATAATATATAATGTATTCATTACTTGATTACAGGTAAATTTTCTCACCATGTGGTATCTAGTCTAGAGCAAAGAGACACTGCAATGCAGAACAACAATGGGGTCATTGAGGTTGACTTCCATAACATACCTATAGGTGATCAAGCAGTGAAACGTGTGAAGGTGGAGAATGCTTCTAAAGTATGTGGTAGTTTGCACATCAGCTAGTAAACGTGAAATATAACTCTATTGATAGTTGTGTTTATGTTAGGTTAAAGAACTGCTTTAGTGTACTATTTACATTATAAAATGTAAACAATCATTTGATGTGTAATGCAAGTTAAAGTTTGAGCAGTTGCACTACGGAAAAAGGCTCAACCATTTGTGGAACATGATCTTCCCAATGTAGTGAACAATAACAGTTGCAATCATTAATATGATTATCATTAATAAATAAGTTGGGTATGTAAAAATAACATGAAATGGAATGGAATGGGGTGGAATGTAATATAACATAATGTAATTTTAGTTTTTTTTTAATATCCAGATGAAGAAGCCAATCACACTGAAAAACTGCATAGGATCAGACACTGCATCAAAAATCTTCAGGATTGAGCATAGTGATTTGGACAGTATCGTTTCAGTGAGTAACACTTGTATCAGATTCAAATTTTTCCTTGTTTGGGAGCCACTGGTTGGTTATTGTATTATTATGGATTTTTCAGCATATTGTTTATTCATTTAATAAAAAAAAAAATTTGCATTTTTTTT